TTGTTCTGCAGCAAGAAACACTTAAAGGGGGATGCTCAGGTTACAGGTAGTTCTCAGGTCATCATCATAACAAAGGTGGCATGCTGGTGCTCATGACAGCAAGCAGAGAGCTCAGACCAGCACCAGAGGAGAAGTCTTCAAGGTCTACCCAAGTGACCTATACCCACCAGTTAGGGGTCATATCCCAAAGGCTCTAAAACCCCTAGAACAGCACTAGCTGTCTGGGGCATTACATCCAAATCATGAGGCTACAGGGGGAAGGCTGGGGGTTGTGAGAAGGAGACTCCTAACCCACTGGTGACATTGGAAGGGGACACATTCAAACTGTAACACCATCTTATGTCATCTGTACATTAGGATCAAATAGTTCCATCTTGTCATTTGTAGGAAGGCAGAAGGTTGCAAATGCGAGGTTTGAGCCACCGACCGATGTGACAACCCACTTTCAGGCAAGTGGTCCTTCCCCAAGATTCTATCCCAACAGGCCCGTTGCCTGGGATGTGTTTAGCAACAGTTCATGCTTCTACCTTGAGGCATCCCTCTACCAGGTGCTCACTCTTTAGCTTCCCCTCTCAAGGTGCCTTCCCTTCCCAGAAAAACCAGAAGCAAAAAGCATTGACAAGAAGAAGCCAGAATTTTCAGAGGAAGCTTTGTGATTGCCTCAACTGACCACATTTGTCAAGCCTCTAGTGTCTCATTTTATTTAATGAGAGAAAAATAAGCCACTATTACAAATTAGCTTTGGTGATAGCTCCAACCATCTTCATGTTCACATTTTTGCTCTGCCATTCATAACAACGGCAAGCAAACAACAAACCCATGACACTACCTCACTGTACTGTAACCTAGGACAGCCACCAAACAGCAGATTCCTGTCAGCCTTGCAATAAAACTCACCAGCCACATGCTGATTTTAAAATATGTCCTTTCTTCCAGCAGTGACTTCTCAAATGCTAGGTTGACAGGCTTACACTACCATGCCCAGCTCTGCATAGCAATCTAACCAGGCAGACTACCTAGCAGCCAACCCCATTTCATTTCTAAACCCCCTTCTTCCTGATGGGTAGAGAGCAGTCACCCAATAGATAACTGATTCATTTGAAGAAAGAGCTGGGGTCTGATATCTTCTAACCAAGCCTTTCAGAGTCCCTTGGGGGTGGGTGGGGGGAGTGCTGGTCCCTTTCCTAACCTCTCCCACCCCTCCCTTGCCCTCCTGACACAAGTGGAAGGCCTTTGAGAAGTGCAAAGGTGTGTTCACCCTGACCCAGAACAGGCAAGTGGGTGTCTTCACAGTGTGTACTCTCTAAGGCAAGAAGGCAAGGCTCTGGGAGATGATCAATGTACTCATTGACACAGACTAAACGTCAAGCAGCCACTGGCACTGCTTGTCTCTAACCGGCTGAAATCTAGTTTCACTGTAATGGAATCATCTCAGCCAAAGGCTGTTTTCCAGCCCTCTCATTTTCCTCAGCTGTTAAGAGCCTCCACACACACACACACACACACACACACACACACACACACACACACACACTGACATGATTACATTTTAACAACTGTAATTCTCCTGGCTCCTACACTCCCTTACCACCATGCCCTCCCGGATCCTGATACTGGACGCAAGTATTTGATCCCAGTCCAATTTTGTGTCTGTCAGTGGTGTTCGGCATCTCTTCCTCAGCAAGGGGGCAGGAAGTTCTGTTTCCCCTGGGGTTTGTGGCCCCTTCTGTCCCAGTATCAGCAGCAACTCGTGTGCATGCCCTGGGACTGTGTAAAATGTGAACGGGGCTGTGTGCCCACGTACATGGGTACATGTGGTCCTGCGTGTGGAGGTCAGAGGTCAATGTCAGATGTCTTCCCAATGACTGTCTCCAGGAGTTCCTGGGTTCAAAACTTGGGTCCTCATTCTCAAGAACTGAGCCAGCCCCTCAGCTTCCTACCCCCTCTTTTTGGCAAGGTCTCATTAAGTTGCCCAGCTGAGCCTTGAACTTGGGTCTCCCGCTTCGACTTCCTGAATAGCTGGAGTTACAGACTTCATCTGTCCGACTCAGCAGGCACCTTGCGCAAAAGTATTGTTTTCTCTAAGCTGCTTCAGGACACGAGCAGAAGAGGCTGCTAAATTTTTCTCTGTGGGAAAAAGTGACCAAATGAGATGGGCACACTAGTTCATGCCTAGACTCCTAGCACTCAGGAGGCTGGGGCGGAAGACCTGCTTTGAGTTTGAGGTCAGCTTGAACTAATTAGTGGGCAGTCCAAGCCAACTTGGGCTACAGAAACCATCTCCAAAGACAAAGAAAGAAGGAGGGAGGGAAAAGAAAAAGGACAGAAGGGGAAAGAACAGAGAATAAACCAACAGCCAATGACCAATGCACTTTCTAGGCCTCTAATTGTTATAGTTTATGGGGAAATGCCTAAATATTGAGCTCAAAAATCTTCATCGTTAGCAATTTCTTGGCTACCAAAGTTTCAGCGATTGTTTTCTCGCCCCGTTAGGTAACCTTTCATTTTCTCACCTTCCCCATTATGTAACAGGAGCATTGGGTTCTGGACCAGTCTTCCATTAAAGATGATTTTTATTGTCGGTGAGCGACGTCAGGGAGTGATGACACCTGGGGGCGGTTTAAACAGACACAAGCACTTAAGCCAGTCTAGAGCTGTGACTCATTCCCCCAGGGGGGAAGCAGCGCGGCCATTGGTGAGCACGACGCCAGCCCCGCCCCACCCAGCCCAGCCCAGTCCCGCCCCTCTCCCGACCCCGCCCAGCTCCCCCCGCGGCGTCGGAGCAGCAGACCGAATTGACGCTTCGTGTCCGCGTCGGTGTCAGGTAAGCGGCTTCTGAAGCCTGGCCCCGGGAAGGGTGCTGGAGACAGGCCTCGGTAAGCCCTCGGCCTTCCCAGAGCCAAGCCCGGCTTGCTACGACTCTCGGGGCGCTGAGGCCGCGGGACTGAGGCTGAGGCTGAGCCTGGCTGGGAGGTGACCGCGCACCCGCTGCTGCGCGTCTCCTGGAGGGACCGAACCCCAGGAGAGGCCAGGAGCCAGCCCGGTTCACCTCAGCGTCGCTCGGGGGTGGGAGATGGGGTGGCATCTTTTGACTGTCGTTTGCTGTTTTCTTCTCTTTGTAATAGCTACAGCGAACATAATTTTACCTGTAGTTCCACTGTGGTCTCGTCTGTCCTCAGCATCTCTCAGTCCATACCCAAAGCCGTGCAGTTTCACGGCCCTGCCTCAGATTTCACTGCCCTACCTTGGCGTTTTCATGGCTATCTTATTTTCTTGTATTTTGAATATCATGGCTTACTAACAGATGCCCATGTGCTGAATTCCCTATTTCATTAAGAGAAATTCCTGGTAGCATGCGGTTAAAGACTTTTGTAAATCTAATTATATAACAAACAAGAGCCACATTTTTTAATTAAAATACCAGACCAGTGGAAAAATTATTCAGTGAAGAAAAGGAACTACTTTACCTACACACACATCTAAGCGCCTTAAAGAGGGCAAGGAAGTAGAAAACTAAGGTGATTTGTTTGTGTTTTATTTTTATTTGACACAAGCTTTCCATATTATTTATAACAGGGACTAAATGATGAGTCATTTTTCTGAATAAGATGCCAATTAAAGCAAGTTTGATTGTTGTTTTTACATCTACTAAATAGACAAAAACAATGGCAACAGCAACCCTGACTGAGAGGTTCCTTGAAACCACCATATTCAGGTTTGGGGGCAGGTGGCCCTACTGAAGGGCTACAAAGATGGTGTTACGACCAACTTTATGACTTCAATATCCTGAGGTTCCTTTTGTTTGTTCTATTTTGTTTAGGACTTAAGTATTTATCTTATGTGTGTGGGTGTTTTGCATCCACATATGCATGTATGTGCCTAGTTCTGTGGAGGTCTGAAGAGGGCGTTGGCTGCCCTCAAACTGGAGTTATGGATGGTCATGAGCTAGTACCACGTGGGAACTCAGAACCAAATCCAGGTCCTCTGGAAGAGCAACCAGCACTCTTAACTGCAGGGCCAGCTCTCCAACCCCTGTCATCCATTCTTAGAAAGGAGAAAATGCTACCTACCTATGTCTGGCATCTATTGCAAAGATTAATGGTCTGTGTAAAACCTGACGTTGAATGTCTACTGTTCTATTTCCCATTCACACTTAACTGAGGATATTGTAAATGAGTTGTAAATCTTTTGTTTGGTTCATTGGTTAGTTTGGAGTACTTGCATCTTTGTGAGTTCATAACCACTCATAACGGGCTATCAATATGTAGCTCTGGCTGGCCGGGACTTTGCTATAGACCAGGCAGGCCTCACATTTGTGGTTGTTCTCCCTGGTACTCCCCAGAATGCTGGATTACAGGCACTAGCCACTATGCCCCACAGTGGAACAATCTGGTGAGGTATTATTAGTATTGAGCTGTGACCCAGAAACCCTACTTCTGGCAGTTTACCTGCGATAGAGCAAAGAGCTATGGGAGCCATATGCCAAGAATCAGTCTAAATGTTTACCAGCTGAGCAGCTAAGAAAAACGATGGCTGGTTCGTGAAAGGAACCACAGTGATCCTGAACACTCTTCAGTTTGGACTCCATGTATCACTGGGGAAGACTGAGAGTCAACGTATAGCCTCTCCTGGACTCATTCATGCCCTATGTATGTGAAAACCCAGAAAAAGGACAGAAATGACAGGACACAGAAAATACCTCTGATCTTAACTTTGTGGATGTACTATTTCCACTAGCTTGTCTGGAAAAAAACAAAACAGTTCCCAGGCTTCTTTTCTTAAAATACTGGAGATTGAACACAGGGATAGTATTTAGTTTCTAAAATGACATAGACCATACCATGTTTGCTTTTTGGAATCTATCTGCCTATATTTATTAGTGGTTTGGTAATTTGTTTATTAGATTAGATTGTATTTCAGTTGTTAGGTTTATTTATCAATTCTAATTTTCCTTTTTTTGTGTTTTGAAGGGCTCCTGAATATATCCCAAAACCAAATAAATTCAGCTCATCTGAAGTACTCTGCCTTCCTAGAGGTACCAGTCCTGTTAGGAGAGCCACAGCAGACTGTAAGTGCCCTATGAAGCTTAGTATAGGGCTTGAAAGTTGCCAACTCTCTGGGGAGGTGGGGATCAGAAAAGACTAAGCTCCACGCTTGCTCCAGAGGCCACCTAGTGATGTGGGCCATATGGCTCGCTATGCACTGATCTCCTGTAAAGTCAGCTTGAGATCAGGGGACAAAGGCCACAGCTTTCTCTAGGACTGTGTCAGGGTAGGGAACTGCAAGCGTTTTAAAAGTAATAATAATGGATAAAATTTCTATGCCAAATCTCAACCAAGTAAGAAAGATAGAATGAAGAGGTTTTTTTGGTTTTGCATGTTTTTTGTTTGTTTGTTTGTTTTTGTTTTTGTCTTGTTTTGGTTTGGTTTTAATTTGGGTTTTTTCTTTTGTTTGTTCTTAGTTTGGGTTTTTTAATTTTGCTTGTTTTGGGGCAGGGTTTCATATTGCCCAAGCTGACCTGAAACTCCCTATATACAACCTTGCACTCCCGTTAGTTAGGAGCTGGGAGCCAAGCACCAGCCACCACAGCCAGCGGGGTTTTCTGAATGAGGATTTTTAACTTTCCCATTCCATTTTCTCAAGGTATCTGTGAGATGCTGTATAATAAACACTTGGAAATGTGTTGTATCTAATGAGGGGATGTCTATAGTGTTATAAAATGATACATAAATGGATAATGTGTGCACTAGCTCTAAGTCCCAATGTTTTAAGCAGTCCTTTTAGTCAGAGGATGAATATTCTGCTCACTGCTACCTCAGTATTGTGTGGTTGCTCTGAGGGAGCTGCACCCTCTTAGCAGAAAGCAGAATAAGTGAACATGTTGGGTTCTTGGTGACATAGTTTGACAAGGAAAGGAGGGCAGGTGGATGACAGGCCCCGAGGTAGACTTTTCCAACCTCTCAGGTTCCATCACTAAATACTTCCAGGTCTCTGATAGTTTTTTTTTTTGTTTTTGTTTTTGTTTTTTTTTTTTTTTTTTTAGTACTTGTTGAAGTAGTTCTGATGATGAGGAAGCTTAAGGACCCTTTACCCTATTTGATCCAGAGATGGACCTTAAGATACCAGTTAAAACCACTAAAATGTTTCCTTAAGAGCCAGTGATCTCAAATGACGAGAAATAATTTTACAGAGCACAAGAGACAGGAAATTCCCCCAGGGATGGTGGGGGTTGTATGTGTATGTATTTGTGCATGTGTGTGTGTGTGTCTGAGTGTGTCTGTCTGTCTGTGCCTATGTGTATGTATTTGCGTGTGTGTGTGTGTGTGTGTGTGTGTGTGTGTGTGTGTGTGTGTATGTGTTATCCTCTCTGCTTCATGCTTTAACTGATTGAACTTCAAGTTTCATGTGTTCTGAACATCATAGCACTGCTTTAGTGGACTACAGAAACTGGTCAGTATATGTGGATCTCAGCAGCAGCATCCTTAACTGTTGGGGCATGTTCTTAGCAGCTCTGCCCCTTGATGCCATGCATAACAAGAATAGAATAACTGGAGAGCTGTGGGCCTTTTGTTCTCTCCCCCCCTCCCGTTCTGTAACTGTACGTGTTGCTCTTGTGATGTCTATATAGTTTTGCATTCTAAGCCATGGCCAGCCAGATGTGCTCTGAATTCTCTTCCCACATAAACATTTCTTCAGTTTTTAGGGCTTTTTATTTTGTTTTGTTTCAGTGCTGGGATCCAAATTCAGAGTCTTTCATGTACCAGGCAAGTGCTCTAGCTTTGGGCTATATCCTCCATCCAGTCCTTTTTAGACAGGCAGGCAGGGAAGGATGAGCCTGTCTCATGCAGCCTAGTCTGGCCTCAGACTCACTGTGTAAGCAAGGCTGATCTTGAATTCCTGATCCTTCTGACTCGACTTTTCAGCCACTGGGGTTACATTTATGGGACACCATGCCTTGCGTCCTTCTTAGTGTCACTGCACTGTGCTTCTTAAAATCCTAAGTTTCGGTAAAGAGTGTTCACTCTGAGTTATTTGGATATAATTGGAATCTCTTTTTAATATTGATTTCTTAATTCCATTAATACTTGTCTTTTTGCTTTTGCTAGTCTTTTTTCTAATATCTCAGCAAAATTGTATAGCTTTCCTCAGAAAGTCTGCTGCTTATTTTGAGGATGAACCCTAGATATTTTGAGTTTCTTAATGTCATTATGAATGGAACGTTTACCCCACTATGTCTTGAGGTGAGGCAAACTTGAAAGACTTATCCTCACCACCCCCTAATCCCAACCAAAGGCCTTTCTTGGTGATTTTCCATAGTTTTCACATAGAAAATTACAACTCTATAAGCTCCCAGAACAGTCTAAGGACACATAGACTTGGTGTTTTCATCACATTAATGAAAACTCTTTCTTCTACTAGGATTATAGGTGTGTGCCACCACACCTAGGTCTACTTTTTAAAATGCATATAGATTTGTTGAGTGGATTCATTTTAAAGGCATTTTGGTAATTTATATATTAATAGAAATGGTGCCCATTTCACAAAGATTTCTAATTCATAAAACAAATATAGTATATATTGTACTTCCCTCGAAACCTGTGGTTCTCAACCTTTGGGTCATGACCCATTTGAAGGTCAAATGACCCCTTCACAGTGTCACCTAAGACCATCCTGCACATCAGATGTTTATATCATGGTTCATAACACTAGCAAAATTACAATTATAAAGTAGCAATGAAAATACTTTAATGACAGAGGCTCCATACAGCATGGGGTGTCAGGGTCACAGCATTAGGAAGGTTGAGAACCACTGCTCTAGAGCTTTCTCTTTCTGAAGCTGTTCTCCCTTTTTTCTGTCCAACCTGCAGCTGCCAGCTTTGGAGGTGTTTTTTCTTTTTTCTTTTTTTTTTTTTTTTTGCACATCCTAGCCAAGTGCTGTGCCACTGAGCTACAATGCATTTTGTTGCTGTTTTCCTCCCTCCCTCCCTCCCTTCCTTCCTCTTTTCCTCCCTCCCTTCCTTCCTTCCTTCCTTTCTTCCTTCTTTTGAGACAGGGTTTCTCTCTGTAGCCCTGGCTGTCCTGTAACTCACTTTGTAGACCAGGCTGGCCTCGAACTCACAGAAATCCACCTGCCTCTGCCTCCCGAGTACTGGGATTAAAGGTGTACACCACCACTGCCTGGCCATTGCTGTGTTTTCTAGTGATGCAGTTGTGTCCATATTATGAAATAACTTGATTTTATTTAGAAAGTCCGTGTATGCTAGATGCTTTTAGTAAATTCTACTTCTCTCTCTTATATCTTACAAATACAACAGTCCATTTTGAAATCCTCTCTCCATATTCTTTCTTGAGTGGGGTAGCCTTTAATGTGCTCTCATTCTTCCTATTCAGTCATGCCATCATGTTCTCCTGGTGGCTGCGTGGATCCCTGCACCCCACGGTTCTGCCCTCTTGATATCCTCCAACTTCCCTTTTCTTTTTGGTCTTATCTGGTTCATAAAGACTTTTAATATGCTACAGGACCCATTTGGCTCTCCCACTTCTGCAAATTAACTATTTATGTCTTAGCCATTTTTCTCAGGAAACCAGTGTCTTACTTTTTTGTACAACTTCCTTGTATTTTCTAGAAAGAACCTTCTTGTTTAGTGTTAATGCTACAAACACTGTTAGCATTATGCATGTTACCGTTATGCACTTTTTCTGTTGACTTTGCTCATGGTGTTCTTCATAGTGTTGAGTAAGATGTCTTAGTTGTTATTAACCAAATTCGCCCCTCTGGTTTTGCCAGTGTTTTTTGTGTCTCCTTGTCTGGAAAGCCCTTTTCCCTCGGGCTTACAAAGACCCTCGTCTGTATTTTCTTCTAATATACTTTTACCTTTCACATTAGATAGCCACCACCACCACCACCCTTTTTTTTAAAGTATGAGTTTCATTCTTCTGAGGTTTTATTATTACCAAATGTGGTCTTCACAGTAAAGTAGGATCAGAGAGAAATATACAGCTATTTGCTCTTGCCAGTAAACCTTCTCTCTTACAAGGGATAATGGTGGAGCTGGTGAGATAACTCATTTATTTAAGTACTTGCCACACAAGCGTGAGGACCTGCGTTCAGCTTCCCAACACCCACATAGAGAGCTGGGGACAGCTGCAGAATCACATAATCCAGCACCAGGAGGCAGAGACAAGTGACCGTCATGCTCACAGGCCAGCCAGCTTCACTGAGTTAGTGGACTACTTCCCTTTTAGTGAGTGCCCTCCCCCCGATAGATAGATAGATAGATAGATAGATAGATAGATAGATAGATAGATAGATAGGTAAAAAGGCAGAAGACAATGAAGACACCCAGCAGCCATTTCAGTCCTCCTCATCCATGTGCACACACATACATGCTCACCTGCATACACACATGCATACACCATGTACTCACACAATAAGGGGCAGCAGTAGAACATACAATTTTTTAAATTGACATATAGTTATTGTACATAGTATTGCATTATAGAAGGACATTTTCATACCAATATGTAATGTACGTGAACTGTGTCCTTTACCTACACTTTTGTCTTCCTCTCATTAGTCCCCTAGACCAGTTTACTTACCCTTTCATGTCAGACAGACATTATTTTATGTATCTATGTAAAATCTTGGGATTATATGTGAGCGAAAACATGCAACATTTGTCTGACTTAATCCGATTAAAATGATGATCTTTGTATCCATTTTCTCCAAATGGCATGATTTTGCTTTTCATTATGGCTGAATAAAGTCCCATTTTCTTTTCTTTTCTTTTTTTTTTTTTATTGATTGACACCCCAGTTAGTTCCATAACTTGTCTTTAGTAAATCGTGCTGTAGCAAACGTGAATGTGCAAGTGTCCCTGGCATGCTGACTTGGAACCCTTTGGGTAAATACCCAGCAGTGGTTTAGCTAAGACATATGGTAGATCTAGTTTTAGTTTTCTACATTACCGCCATATCAATTTCCATAGTGAGCTCTAATATGTAGTCCTACCAGCAATGTGTAAAAATTCCCTTTACTCTTCATCCTTATCAGCATTTGTTATTTGT